TAAGGTACAAGTTTCGCTTCCTAAAAAAGAAAACTTGTAAGGTACAAGTTTCGCTTCTTAAAAAACGAAAACTTGTAAGGTACAAGTTTCGCTTCCTAAAAAAGAAAACTTGTAAGGTACAAGTTTCGCTTCTTAAAAAACGAAAACTTGTAAGGTACAAGTTTCGCTTCCTAAAAAAGAAAACTTGTAAGGTACAAGTTTCGCTTCTTAAAAAAATGAAAACTTGTAAGGTACAAGTTTCGCTTCCTAAAAAAGAAAACTTGTAAGGTGTAAGTTTCGTTTCCTAATGCAAGTGTTTTATAAATGATGTGTAAGAAATGGTAGTTAACATCTAAGTGTCTTTCTTTTCTTTAATTAAGTGGAAAAAAAAGGCCCTTACAGGACTTTCGTAACTAAAACTACTGGAACAAAAATGGAATATGAAATCATAAACTACTGATCCATTTTTACTACAATCTAGAAACAAGCGGCTTATATGTCAGTTGTTTGGTACATAAAAATGATGATTACACAATCCTACCCGAAGTTTTATACATTTATTATTAGTTTTTGATGTTTTCAATATTGTATATTCTGTAGTATTTAAACACTTTCATGATGTCTAAGACTTCATTTCCTTCTGTCGTCTTACGTCAGAAGCTCTAATTTTTTACGTAACTTAAACTACGTCATCTACTTTGTGCCGCAAGCTACGAGATGTGCACGTGATTCTGATATAAAGTATGCTGAGAACAATGACGAAGTGGTTTACAAAGCGTAGAAGTGATCAAACATAAATATATAATGAACGTAATATCAAAACGACACTACTCAAGTAATATTGGAACACAACTAACAATTACGTGATAATCCCGATCAGTTCGGAACAGAGAAGGGATTGAATCACGTGATCTGATTAATGGGGTAGAAAAAAAAAAAGGACTCACGTGCTACGACCAATCGAACTGGTGAACTGTGGAAGGCACCCACGTTGTTCTGCACCAAGCATGTGTAGTCTCCTTCGTCTTTCTTACCGCTAGGCCTTCTCTGGTATAACACCCTATCGAAGTAGAGTGATCCATTCTGTAGTACCTGCCGTCTGCTGTCGTCGATCTCGTGTCCCTGTTTACCACAGAAACAAAGCCCATTAGTTTCCACTGGCACATAAAACACTGACCATGAAAATTCGGTTATTTCATTAAAGTACGTTTAGTGGTTCTTGTAAATAAACCACGGACTTAGGTCAAACTGGGATCCGTTTCAAAGAAGTGCCAATCAACGTGGCCAGAAACGAACAATAATTGAAATGAAAATTTAAATAAAAACGTTTTTTTTTTTTCTCCACAGCTCTTAAATAAATCGTTTTGTGCGCAAACTAATAATAATAAAACGTAAAGTTAGTTTGCCTAAGAGACACAAGGATAAAATCAATGTGCATAAAGTTTTTCTACAATGTAAAATTAACCCTTTCAATTACCGATGTTATTAACATGATGGTAAAACTAAAACATTAGATCTATATTTGAGTTAATGGATCCGTCCAGTATGGGAACAATCAGAAAACACTGAATACTTTCTCTCAAACAAAGCAGTCTGTGTATTTCTGAACTTACATCCTGAAATAAAGACACACAGTCAACATCACCCACCGTCAACTTACACACTGACGTAAAGACAACATAGTCAACAACACCCACCGTCAACTTAACACACTGACGTAAAGACAACATAGTCAACACCCACCGCCAACTAACACACTGACGTAAAGACAACATAGTCAACAACACCCACCGTCAACTAACACACTGACGTAAAGACAACATAGTCAACAACACCCACCGTACTTTAATCTAGAAGAAGTAATTCAAACATGACTAGTAATTTACCTGATAGAACCAACTGACGTGCGCTGGACCGTACTCCGGTTCCGAAAACACAGTACAGTTGACCAGAAGGGGTTGATTTCGTTGGGCAATAACTGGTGGTACTGGATGTTCAGTGAACCCTAGCGTCAGGTTGATAGAGGAGGAAGCTAAAAATAGCAAAAACAAAACGTAAGAGAGAATAAACTGTACGTTTCTAAAAAAAAAAAAAAATCTCTTCAGAATCTGTGAAAAACGTAGGAGAACAGACAGCTAGGTTTATAATATTGAACTCAATTAAAAGTGTTTATAACGTTACGTATGTTCTAAATGAAATTATGGAAAACCAATGTTTGAAGCATATGCTGGTACGAACTGGCTAAAGACACCAAGATATAGAAGATCATATTTAAATAAATGCGTGAGTGTAAAAGAGAATTACAAGTAACACAATTTGAAAACACTGATCACAATACTGTTGATAAAGGGAGGGGGCGCTGGGACAGTTTAGTCTATGAAAAGATTGTTTTGTTTTGGATTTCGCGCAAAGCTACACGAAGGCTATCTGCGCTAGCCGTCCCTAATTTAACAGTGAAAGACTAGAGGGAAGGCAGCTAGTCATCACCACCCACCGCCAACTCTTCGGCTACTCTTTTACCAACGAATAGTGTGATTGACCGTCACGTTATAACGCCCCCCACGGCTGAAAGGGCGAGCATGTTTGGTGGGACGGGGATTCGAACCCGCGACCCTCAGAGTGCCAGGCCACCTCTGGTGTAAATGTTTTTTGTTTTTTTTTGTAAGTGGTGATATCTGACGTTCATTACGGAAGAACACACAGATTCATGCTTAAAGATGTCTCCTTATTTTTAGTATATGATCTCACAACACTCATTGTACAGAAGGTAAGAAAGTAACAAAGAGCTCTCTTCAACTCAACCAACATTGGTCAAATATATCTGTAGACTGGTGTCACCTTTTTCTAGGGATAGTTTGTTTTATTTTTACTTTCGTGCAAAACTATCCGAGGGCTATCTGCGCGAGTCACCCCTAATTCAGAAGTAACAGACTAGAGGGAAGGCGGCTAGCCAACACCCCCAATTCTTTAACCAACGAAAAGTGGACTTGACCGTCAGTTATAATGCCCTCACGGCTGAAAGGGCAAGTATGTTCCAAAAAGTTGACAGAGGTCATAATGTAACCAATTGACTATCTTGTCGGGATAACTAACATGTGTGGAATAAAATAATGGCAGGAATAAAACAAATGACTAAAATGTCGTAACTTTAATAAGTATGGTGTATAAAGAACGAAGAAACTGATAATCAATAACTGTATAAAAACAACCGATATCAGGACCACAATGAACCTGAAAATCTGCTACTCCGAATAAATTACACATACCGTGACGAAACTTTAACAGTCCAATCATGACCAGTACCCTAACCATATTAAAACTGAAAACTTGATACTCCAGTGGTGACTGATACCATTACTACAAACTAATTGAAATGGCAATGTTATAGAGATTATGTTAGCGATTGGCTAACGCAAGGGGCTGATGGGGATGCAGCCTTGGGGCTCCGAAGGCTTTGGAGGTCCCACCGACCTTGATTTTTTTTTTAAATGCATACAAATGCATCGATGGGCTCATAAAAATACAATAGCCTCTTAGCCCCCAGTAAACTTAATTCGGCCCTCGACGCCGTGTACTGCAACCATTAAAATTCAAAACTTTATACCCCGCCCGATAACGTGACCCCAAAGAAACCGTAAACCTCCAAATCCCTCAAAACAACCTATAGAAATATTGTTTATATCTTTTCACAATCTATAAAACACATCAGTGAGGACTGTGTGTGCTTCATTCCATCGTGATACTTACTACAACAAAATTACTAACGAACGTGAAGCATTTTAACAACAAAGGTTAAGAAATACGTTTCGCACAACAAAGCAGTTACGACACCATGCACTTATGTTACGTACGTGATTAAAACCTGTTGTTTCTGTTGCAGTAACAATTATTCCTAACATCGAGGTCGTTATATAAACACGGTATCTCTTTTCACATAATATTCTCTTCACCTTCCAGCCCCCCCCCCAATCACAGGAACTTGGCTCTTCTCCGCCTTCCAGAAAAGTATTCACTCAGTTTCCTCCTCTTTAATCGATATCATGGCCTGCCTTATCGAACGCTAACACAGCCACTGTTTTCCCGCCAAATATCGATGTAAACACGAAAAGAGGCCCTTGTGACGGTGTAATTACCGAAAACGTAGAATAAATCCCTATTAGCATGACGCCTATGCACGTACAATCCTGCATGAAGGGGGACTTTTCCCCATCAGGTGTTACATTACCGTAAGATCAACGCTGTGTGTGTACAGATTTAAAAACCACAGCCATGTCACGGTTAGTTACACTGCTTAATCATAGGAAGTGGGGAACTCCTTGACCACGCCACTGAAGCCTGTTTATTCAGAGAAAGCAGTTATTCTTTTAAGTACGCCACTTATTTATTTCACAAAACACACAGAACCAGTTGAATTCTAGATAATGTAAACCGTACATCTAAGTCTGCCGGAAATTATGGGAAAAAAAATGTTCGTAATAAAGATACTCGTAATAAATCATAAATTATTTATGTTCGAAGTCAGTGGTTCCCAACCTTTTCTCCACCAAGGACCCCCTTTTATTATCATTTCACCCCCCCATGTTTTTTAAAGATTCCGCCTACCCAACAAACTGTTTTTATTATCTAATAATTAACTCGTTCTCCCACTTTTCACTATCAAATAAAAGACTTATATAACTGAGTGTGAAATTAAAAGAAAAACAAAAACCCATCAGTATTCAAAAACTTACTTGTTCAATGAGATGGTATTACCTACGCGGACCTCAGGTTGGGAACCACTGTCTTAAGTATAGGTGACGTTCAACAATAAAAACAGTTTGGGTGCTCTGTGTTGGATTTCAAATTTCTCTATCTAATATTCCATAATAACTTTAGTAATTGAGAAGATTTGGGGTTATTTTGGCCCAATTTCAGGATCATAATATTTACACAAATTTGAGCTGATAGAAATAGAGAGAAGGCACCTACCGCCAACACTTGGACCAGTCTTTATTAACCAAATGGTGGGATTTGACTGTAACTTTTACAGCACAATCACGGTCACAAAATACGGAGCGCATTTTTTGTGGTAACAGGACCCGAACCACGAATCCTCAGTCACTCCCTGCCTATCTTGGGTAACAAAGATTCATTTCAAAAGCGCGTGGCACATTTCTTAAAGAAATGAGGTAACCCGTAAAATATTTTTATTCAAGATTTCATTTGGCGATTGGCATCGTTTTGAAAGCACGAAATAACAAGCATCCAGCTAACTGAACATTACTTTTGAAAGTTCTCGAAGCTGTCTCCAATATTTTAAGGTTCATATTTATCATTCTCTGAAGCGTCTGAGTTAATGTATTCGTGAGTGATTATAATGTGGGTCTTGACATCATGATCTTGTAGTCGTGATTGATTATAATGTAGGTCTTGACATCTTGCTCCTGTAGTCGTGATTGATTATAATGTAGGTCTTGACATCTTGCTCCTGTAGTCGTGTAACTAACCCAACCATGGACCGAACATGCTCAGCCGTGAGGCGTTATAATGAAAAGTACTCCCAGCGACGTCATAATAGCGTATTTCAATCGTAGGTCGTAATTGTCGTACAGCATGTCTTTTCACAGATGTGTGCCTGTCTTTTTACTACGTAGTTGCAGAAAGTTAGCCAATACTTGAAAACACCTGCATACAAGATCATATATACACATATTCCTCTTCTAAGAATATCTATAGATAGATAAAACATTTTTGTGACAAAAAATACTACTACATTTATCTCACGTTAACAGTTGTTTTTTTTATCTTTGTATTACTAAGTTTTGGCTGCAGTATCACAGCAGTCTTCAGGTTTAAGTCAGTCATTATTTAACCCTAGAGTTATACATGGGAACATCAATGTTTTAAGTACTTTTTCTAAACTATTTATGCACCAACTTTCATGTCGGCCCATGGTTCTTTGGTTTGTTTTGAATTTCGCACAAAGCTAGCCGTCCCTAATTTAGCAGTTATAGACTAGAGGAAAATTAGCTAGTCAACACCACCCACCGCCTACTCTTGGAGTACTCTTTTACCAAGGAATAGTGGGCGTATTCCAAGGTAGGCCTGTGCATTCCTCTTAGACAGAAAGACAAATGTTAGCCCTCCACCCAATCCACCCCCTTCTGATTGCCACAAGGTCACGAAGTACCGAGATCTATAACATTCGTTCGTGGAACAAGAAACACGCCCAAACGTGTTTCTAAGGGTACTAGCCTTCCGATACTCCAAAAGCTGCAATTGACAAAATTCTAAAGTTCTGAGTTTCAATAACTGAGAGCGACAAACGATTAAGACAAAACCAAGTGTTTAGAGTAATTATGTAAATTAAATATTAATTATATATATATCGTATTTTCAAATATTAAAAAAAAAACGGTAGCTTCGTGCTACAGTTGTTTCTGTATAACTGAACATAATTAATTTAAAGCAGTGGATGGAAACCTAAGCCTAATCAGTAGGATACACGTGGAGGTGCGGTGCTCAGTTTCACCCCCTAGGGACTCCTCCCATCACTGTTTCAGAGTATGTCTTTTAAAACAGTATTTATTCGTGATTACCAGCCAATCAAGTTGTTGAACACGGTAACACGCTATTAGAAAAATACTTAACTAGCACGCGTCAGTATGACTGACAGCAGATAGCACGTGAATCCTCGGTCTTTTGCTGACCCAAGTTCGAGTCTCCTACTGAGTCATTAGTTTTCCAATTATATCACTATACACGATATTTCAAATGTGATAGTAAGTTAAGTAGGGAGCTAAGGCCGTTTATAAAATAATGTTAGAATCTAATTTATCGAAACCTAGATAAAGTACATATAAAATGTGTAGTTAGTTTGAATATTAACTTTTATTCACACAAGATTGATTATTACTATTTTTTTTCTTCAACGCCTAAACGAAGCTTAAGCTGGAAAACAAAGAAAACGGAAATGGAATTTTGAATATCAACAGTAATTTAGACGCACGTGGGCTAAACAGTCATGACAGTCGTCCCTAATTTTGAACTGCT